AAAATCTTTTATTCGCTTTCATTGGAACATTTTCATGATCGCCTTTTTCGTTGTGTTATATTGTTCAGTTTTACTGTCATTTCCTTGCGCAGTCAGCTCGTTGAGAGTGCTTGTAAATTTAATGTGGCTACAGGTTCCAGACGCACAACAAACAAGTGGCAAATCCAGGTGAGTGATGAATGTTCATCTACTGGGTTGTTGATAGTACGTATATATATTTTTCTTCGCTCAATTTTTTATTCATATTCTACGGTGCCCCATTCTTCCTGGTAGTCTTTCTGCCCTGCGCTTTTTTTGTCTTGACTCGCCTCACCTTCTTTTGGAACCACGCTGATGCCACACAATGGCCCGACTTCTGGTTTTGATTACTTTTCCGTGCTCCTTTGTAACTCTTCATGTCTGTAGAGAGTTTTTTATCTGTGCCTGCGCTTTGTTGCTTGGACGAAGGTGGAGGAGAGCTACTCGGTCGACCTATGAAGTGTCATACTTTGCCATATGTTCATCATCATGGATGGCTGTAGTACCCGGAAGTGTCAGGTGCAGCGAAATGAAAACGCTTTGCGGACTCGAAGTTGCGATCTCGCAAGGGGTTTGCGAGATCTCGCTAACATTTTTTTGTTTTCTTCTCCATGTCCCCTTGGGCGGCTCCGTCATGACGTATGGCACTCTCATCAATATTAATCGTAACTATGTTCGTTCCTTTTAAGATGGCGTTTATCGTTTTTGGATGGGGGTTCTTATTTGGTTTTTTATTGCGGGTTCACAACAGTATGGTTACAATGTTGTGCAGTAAAGGTAGCTGTTTGAGAGCGCGTGCGGGCTCGCCGTCGAAAAGGGAACGGAGATAGGGCGATCGCCAAGGCGGGGGAGGTCTCAAAAAGCTCGCTGAAGCGGCGCTCCGGTCGTCTGTCTTCTTCTTCTTTCTTTTCTTTTTCTTCTTTTTCTTTTTTTGTTCGTTCTCTGTCTTCTCTCTTCTTCTTCTTCTTCTTCTTCTTCTTCTCGTTCTTCTCTCGTCGCCGTTTGCCTTCTTCTTTCTTCTTCTCTCTCGTTTTTGGCGGTTGAAACTCGAGTCGGCTGTTGACTCGCTTGCATTTGATCCAACCCCCGACCATGCATCACATGGTCTAATCGTTATATGTCAGATTGTACTAAGTAACGTACATTGTTCCTGCTCAGATTAGATTCATCGTTTGTGTGTTACTTGCCACTATTAGGCGAGGTAGCCTATCTGGACGAACGGAATGCCGTTGTTTGGCTTCGTGTGCTCTAACCAGAGTGCCACATGCAGTAAGTGAAAGTAAGTGTACACAAAACTCCTCCGATAAATATGAGTGATGAATGAATGATAGATAACAGTGGAGGCGTATGAATATACGAGCCTCGTCGCAGTAGCCCCGGAGTGATTGAACTAGTGTTGCATTTGCTAATATATATAAAGTCTGAAACGGTAGCGTGCAGTTAAGTTAACATTAGAAGATATTTAATTCGTGTGATGAAATGGTAGATGCAAATGTTAATGGTAGTGGGGACGTTAATCTGACACAACAAACATATCTTCTGCCGAGCCAATTGGAGAGTTTCATCACCAGCACGTGGTAAAAACCACCAATTAGCGCTCAGCTCGAGATACCAGCGAGTCGTTTCCCATCAAGCAATCTCGCTTCCGCAGCCCGTGGAGAGGAACTGCGCCGCCTCGCCGCGCCTTGCTCTCAAGGCTGCGGGCGTCTTTGTCCCGCGAGATTTCAACGTCTCATGTAGGCGAGCCTCCAGAGCAAGTCGGACAAAATGACTAACCATCATGCAACGCACTAGCAAGACGTTGATCGAAATTGCGCAGGTCTGCGCAGGTCTCGCTTGTCTCAAACAAGCCTCCTGTGTGGCATGGGTGTTTGTGAAAATAACGGGGACAGAGCTGCTGTCAGACGATCAGCTGTGCGGCGTCATCACAAACGGACGTCGCTTCACGTGACGCTCCGGAGGAAAGGGCGTCCCATTGCTCTTAAAACTAATTTCCCTGCTTCTCGTGGTTTCCTTGCGTCTCTCCATGCTTCCCTGGTGGGAGGGACGCAAGTGAGGGACGCAAGGATTCCATTTAACCAAAGTGAAATGCAGCCCAGGAGACCAGTGCCACCTCCTCTGCCAGTGGGTCTGGGTGTATGGGAGAAGGAATATGCTGTGGAAAGAGCTGCTGGGGTGGATGTGTTGGATGGAGTGGATCCAGGTCTCAGTGAGAGCAAGGAAATCCAGAGACTGCAGGGAAGCGTAGCCAGAGATGAAGTCAGCCTTAGGAACAGCTGACTGGCAGTTCCACAGGCCCCCTGAAACTAGATGTTGGATCTCAGTGGAGCATGTGGGATAGACGAGAGCTGGCCGGTTATATCGAGTAGGAGATACACGGGGCCAGTGATAATTGCGAGAAGACAAACGAACAGGAATGGAGAAAATACACATGATTATAGCATGAGGGGCTAAAGAACAAAAGAAAATAAAACACCAGCGATACTTAGCTCAATCAAAATCCTTTGTCAGGCTGAAGCTGACGCTTCAGCAAAGTGCTACCTAAAATGGACACCTGATTGCTGAGTTATCACAGCTGTGGGGCCACGCCCCTTTAATTAGTTAACTCTCTGCAGCTGGTGGCCCTCAAAAGGAAATCTAGACTGTCTCACTCCTGAGTTGTTATTGTATCTTTTCAGTGGCACAATAGTTTTACAATTAGATTAAACCTTAAGTTATAAAGTTATGAGTTTAACCCTTAATACAGTTACACCTACTCAATAAAGCTCTTAGTATTCTACAAATGTTTAAATCAAAGTTAACCCTAGCAGTCAGTTAGTTCAGTTTTAAGGTTTCTGTCAAATGAGTTGTCCCAAGTTTCTGCCTGACAGATACTGTAGCGGTTTTGAGATTTAAAATCACAATTTCAATCAGATCAACTACAGAGCATTTATACAGAGTACACACACTGAAACAGAGAAGTCTAAAAACAGAATGTTACTCACATAATTCTATTAGTCATCAGTTGTTATCCTGTCAAAATCAAGTTGCACACTTCCCTTTTTATTTTACCTTTGTCTGGTAGTTAAAAGTTGAGGCCTATATGTATGACATTATAACTCAAACAAGGCTGCATTCTAATGCATACTTTTAATGTTTTACATAAAACAATCCAATGTTTTTTAAATGCATGGCAGAAGAGATTACAATATTGAGGGGCTGAAGGGAGTAAAGCTACAGAGTAAAGCTCTTGACAGACAAAGATTAGATAGCAAGTGCTATGCTAAATGAATGTCAATAAAACAGTGGCTTATCAAGCATAATACATCTAAAAGTATTTATATATACTGCGTCACTTTATAATTGTAATCTCTTTCCTTCTATAATGGCTTGTGTTATTCTAGGTGAGCAATTCCTTTAGACACTTGCAGCAAAGTCAGCAGTTGGCTGAACTATTCTACATCTCTTGTTTGTGTTGGCTTTACCTCCCCTTTGTAAAATGCCCATGAGGGGAGACATATGAAACTTAATCCAATGGTCTTTATTTGTTTTGTTCGCTGGTTGTGAAAATGTTACAGCCAGCTAAACAACAGTGCCTACCGACCACGTTTGTAAAGTTTAATTGAAAGTGTTACTTCTAATGAGCTCGCCGTGAGGTTAGTCAACAGGTTGCTGACGCTGTTATCCTTCTCTTCTTCTGTTGATAGCATCTCGTTCTTATTAGTATTAAAGTAAAAGTATTGGTTTGCTCCCTCTGACTGATTTCTTAGTATATACAGTATGACATGAGATCAGATTTTTGTCTTTCTCTAATCTTTGATATTTGGCGAGATATATGGTCATTATTGACATGTTATCATGCAAAAACTTTAGAGGGAAAAATCAATCATTAGTGGAGGTCGTAGTAAAAAAGGTACTCACTGGTACTCATTCTTGTGTGTGATCAGGGTGAACGTGTCGGAGCCGTGAGGTTTCGGTACTCTGGTGTCTCCGTCCGAAAGGTGAACCACGATGGGGACGGCCGGAGAGGACGACCCCTCACCGTCAGCGGGGCCCCGTTGCTTAAAGGGGACCATTGTAAGCTCGCCTGGGCGCAGCTGTACCTTATATCTGGAACAAAAGGGAGAAGGTAAAAAAGAGAGGAACTATACGTATACTAAATAACAACTGTATTCAGTATGTATTATATACTGAACTTCACAAACTGTTTCGCAGGAAGTATACTTGCTGTCCTCTACTATTGAAGAAATAATGAACTCCCTTAAGGGTTTCATTACATTTTTACTCAATAGGTCGATATGTAAACACAGTACATATGCACAGGGTTAGGGTTAGGGTTAGGTAAACATTAGGTTTGAAACAAACACATGCATAAACTCATTCACCTATACTGGTTTCTGATGTTGATATTTTGGATAAAAAAAATAACTCAAGATTCAGATTCAAATTCAGAAATTCTTGTTTCTAAATCACCAAATACCGTTTATGGCATTTGTATAGTTTTTAATTAATATATTGGTGCATGAGTTGTGTTATCTTTGGGCAGACTCAGATTAGCTTCCTGTTTTCTGTATGCTAAGCTAAGCTGACCACATGTTGGGTCCACACAATGTGTAGCTTTTTTCAGGTCCGGTCTCAACTTGGGTTAGGGTGCTTGCCAACCTGACATTTCTCATCACTATCATAAATGTGGTTTATCTGTTTTACTAAAGTAGCGTTACAATAACAAAGACACATCCGTACTTCACCCATCTGAACGATGCCAAGCCGCCTCTGTGCAGCAACAAGACGCCTTCACGAAGACTCTGTGAGGCTTCAGGCTGCTGAGGGGTTTCTGCATTACACTCTTCAGGGTCACTGTATATGTTCGCATAAATTATCCGATTCACAAGCTGCATTATCTGAGAACCACCCGCCGGAAAATAGTAGAAAACAGGAAAAGGAATTTAAAAATAACATGTTTCGTTCTCTCTGCATGTACATTTTTCAACACAAATGACAGGTTCTTTAGAGTTCCCACAAATATACATTTACCTTGTTTTTTTCTTCCACTGAAGTGGCCTCCAACTCATAATCATGATATCCTTTAAAGGAAATGGAGAACCTGGAACCCACTCCTTCATCACAACTCTTGACAATCGAAAAGAGAAGTTGCCGCTTGATGATGCCTTTCTCGATGCTGCACAGCATTTTGGTTTTAAAATCAATCTGGGTTGATCACAATGAGGGGGTTTGAATTCATATATTATTTTCAGTAACACAGTAAAAAATGTTATCTTCTGACAGTGTTTTTTTAACAATGCTAGCGGGCTGACACACACTGAATGATCTCACAAACTAAGGGATGGATTGCCAAGGAAGCTTTTTAATTAATTCATGTTCCCCTGTGGGTGATTCATACTAACTTTGTTGACTTGCTGTAAATCTTTGGTTTAGGACCAAATACCTGCAAAAGCAATGCCTCCCCCGTTAGCATCAGATAGACTTTGTGTCTCTTGCGAATTAGCAAATGCTAGCATGCTAACTTGCTAAACTAAGATGGTAAGCATTGTACACATTATACCAGCTGAACAGCATGTGGGCATTGTTAGCAGCCTTAGTGTGAGTTGCTTTGGCAAAAAGACTCACAGACTTCCTGATAGCATACCTTTATAATCTTTGTTTTGTTTTGTTAATTTGAACTCACTTGAAGAACCCGCTTCTGCCACCTGTAGCGGTTGTGCTTGTGAACACTGAAGTTGTACTGTGAGGGTTGCTGTTCCTGCAACAAAAGCACAAAAACTAAACATTAGAAACACGTAGACCTTAAGGAAATAACACATTTTAATGAAAAACAGAAAGTATCAAGATAACTATCTCTATTAAAAAAGTTATGATATCATCGGCTAAACTGTTTCCTGGTAGGTGTAGAACAAACGCTTCCACATTCCTTCACACAATACCTTTGGGCCTATCAAACTGGACTTGTGTTTTGAAAAGCTAACCAGCGGGTTAAGCAGCTTATTAGCATGACCATATCTAGAGAGTAGATGATGAAATGTGGGGCACCAGTCTTCCATTTTACAAGACAGTTTTAGATGAGAAGATTTAAACACATGTATCTGTTGGGGAGATGGAAAACGTTGTAAGCAAAACCTCCATGTCTCTTGTTTTGTACAGCCCGCAGCTCACTGGCCTAGTTCAGTTTCACAGCACTTATAATGTGTTTTTCAGCAGCTCTTTCCATCATTATCTTCCCATGTAATGTGTTTATCATATCTTATATATTTTTAAACCAACGTTTAGCCTGATGTATTAAATGTTTTGGGGACATTTAGTAGTTTGGGTAGGATTTTAGGGTATTTGAAAAGAATTTATTATGTCTTACGATTGTGTTTATAAACTTTTGTGAACTTGAAATCACAGCCAATCGAATGGTAAGGAAGCTTGGTTTAAAGGGGCCCTATTATACTAATTTGTAGGTTCATATTTGTATTTAGTGCCTCTAATGTGACATGTTTACAAGGTCTAATTATTCTATTTCCCCCCTCTGTCTGACATTTAGTAGTTCAAGTTAGATTAGTTTAAGGGTGTTTGGTTGGTGTGCATTATGTCGAATAATCGTACTTGTATTTTTGAACTTCTCCTGAAAAACTGTGCCATATACTCAACCTCCATGTAAAAACTTCAGAAAGACAACCAATGTAATGTTGAGGAAGGTTAAACATGCTGATACCTCTTCAGTCTGGCTGTTCTGTTTGCAAAGCCGCTTCTTTTCCTTCCTGGCTTCCTTCAGAGCGTCTTCGATGGACCACTCTCCGTTCCTCACCTTGTTCATGATGCTCAGTTGATCCTCATTGCTCAACTGAAAGTACGACAAGCCAGTAAAACGTATTGTTAATTACCCTGTGTGTACTTAAGAAGTTATCCCTGTTGTAAACTTGTAATGTTGGTTCATATGTCCCACAATATTCAAGATTGTGATTCTAAATCTAGCGTTGCATTTGGTAAACTAACACATAAATCATAGTGTAGCAGCCCTCCTTTATTACTTTCATGCTCTTCTATTTACCATGCAGTATTTTAATTTGGCAATATTCGACCATAGTGCTGCTGTTCAAGTTCTTAATGATAAGAGAGTCACTGAAACTGTAAAGAGGAAGCACTGCGTGGCAAAGTTCAATCAGTATCTGCATCTGTTCATCATGAGATTTACAGGAACAGAATTATCTGTCACATTTCTGAGTAACTGTGTTCTTTTGTCGGAGCAGCAGGGAAGTCAGATTGAATTGAGGAAGTAAGAAATGCTCCAGGGACTTCAATAAACCAAAAAAGTTTCTCTTACTGCCCTGAAGTGACGGTAATGAAAGCAAGAGGGGGTGAGCTTCACAAGTATTGACTTTACATGTACATCATAGCACATTTGCAGTTAATAACATAGTATATTAGCTGAAACCGTACCTGTGGCAGATCCTCATTGTGGCTGTCCATTCTGGATGGGTTGTCTTTCTTCCTTGATCCTAAATTTGGCATTACAACTTTTTTAGATGACGTAAAAATCCATGCAAATGCTCAGTCCATTTACTGCCTCTCACGATACGAAAGCTGTTTTGTTTTTTTTGTCACGCAAGTCCCAAATAGTGATCTGCTCCTTTAAACATAGGAATGGAAAAGGCTGTGATTTGTATGACTATTTTTCTACCACCGCCCTCTTTAAGATCATATTACTGTTCTCTGTAAGGCAGGTACTTGCTGTTTGGCCACGCCTACACCAGCACACATGCTTTCTCTGCAGAACAACAGAACATTCAAGTCGGTTTACATGTCTCCACTCGCAGCACAATGTGCATTACCTGCTGCTCACCCTGTTTCACCTACATAGAAAGAGCACTAAGATACCGGCAGCTCTTTTCCCAGACCCATAGAAGTACAATTTAATACAAAAATACAACATGTATCTCCTATGGATTACTACTGAGGATTTATTGTTCTATACTCATATGAAATATTACTTTTACTATATTGTTTGTTTGAAAATCCAGGTTAAGTCGCCTGTAAACTGAAAAGCAAATGTAAATGTTTCATCATATTCTTATATAATGGTTTTCCCATGATACCTTTGATTTAGAAGGGTAAGAGCATTTTGTTTTCTTGGTGCAACAACACAGTCCTGACCCTACATATGGCTCAGTAATAATATGTATATTGTTAATTCAAGAAAATGTAAAGTGAGTAGTTGAAAGTCATTTCACAAATCTATATTTTATCCATTCACCATTTTTTTGAACCCTTTCTTCAGTCCTAGTCAACAATAAAGAGTGTGCATATAGCATTTCTGAACATAGGACAAATTAATGAGGGCCTATACAAGAAAAGGCACACAATTGCCAGTACAAAAGAAGCAGAATAACACTAAGTTTAGAGGTAAAATGGTGTAAATATTCCCATAAAATGCTTTCATTTTCAGGAAAAATATTTTAATTCTATATCCATTGGAATTTCCAGCTAGGGAAACTTTGAGAAAATTCATTGTGCAAGTTTTTCCGGTGCTCCCGGTCAAAGTGCAGTAATTACACAAATACACAGGCAACGACATTTGAACACAGCCGGTTTACTGGCTGTTGCCTAGCAACATATGCATGAGGTGAGGGCCATAGACTGATAGGGGCAGAGATAACGTGGTGGTGTTAGACTGTTACGCCCAGGTCTAGGGAAACCTAGGCGCAGCACAACATTTTACTCTCCCCACTCTTCCCATTCCCAAGAAATGGACAATGAGACAGAAAAATGCCTTTGGTAATTTTAATTACCTTTTTGTTTTTAAAGGAGGCGAGACAACCCACATAAACAAATAACCCTGGGCATACATAAATCTTGCCTAACAAATTAAGTAGAATAAAATACAGGCTTCTTACCTAACCTAACGAAAAAACAGGAGAAGACAGGATATGAACAAAAGAAAAGGGTTTCGCACTCCTGGGCAAAGCAAAGCGTGTCTTTCAAGATAGATTAAATTAGCTTATCTTTACAAAGATACCAAAATGTACAAAAGGACCGGTAATCTTTAGATTTAACCACACAGAACAATAGATCAGGTTTTCTACAACAGACAGTTGGGAGTAGGAGAGGTCGATGAGAGAGAGGGCAGAGGAACTGGTGGCTGCAGGTTAAATGCTCCTGTCTCTTCAGGTGGACCAATCAGCCTGTCGAAGGCAGCCAATCAGCTAACAGGCACCACCTGCATAATGACCCAGGGTCATAACAAGTGACACTAGATCTAAATCAGTGCTGATACGGCCCAGGTACAGCAGATCACTGCAGTATTTGAAAGTGTTTTAAAACCCTGCAGTCTTCCTCCTGAGATTCTGTTCACATACATGTCTCAGTCTGTAGTTCATCTTTTATACTTGAGGTTGGCTTCAACTGGAATGAGAAAAAAAGCTAAACATTAGAGCATAATCTAACTGCACATGAATGATTAATGCTGTGGTTGACTAGAAAACCACCTGCAACAGGAACCAAAACTACTGAGTAACTCTTTTATTTTTGTATTAAGCACATTAGTAGCATGGATTTGTGCATGGCAACGTCACTACACTGCACAACTGCACTGTAATTCAACTGTTTTACTTTGTTATTTTATTATATTATCAGTATTTTCACTTTTATTAACCATACTGACACTTGACCTCGTTACTTTAACTTGTCAGGACCTCAGTTTTTCAAAGTTTTCCTTTAATTGCTAAAGTTTCTATTAAACCATTTGTATATTTGATGTATTCCTGTATTCTTTTCTCATTTACTGATACTTATTTCTGTCATTTTGGAGCCGTAAAACCTGAAATGTTCCTCTAAGATCAATAAAGGCTTATCTTAGCTTAGTATGTTCTGGCCTTGCTTACTGGTGCAGTGGACACATAGGTCTGGACAGGACCAGTTTGAGGGCTTCCAGCCACTCCTTCTGCTCCCTGTCCTGCTCGCACATGAAGACAAACTGTCGCGTAGGCGTCTCCACCATGACACCCCACTTCCACTTGTTTCCCTGAGCATGTTTTGGGACACACTCCTTCACAGAGTAACCTTTCTTCTCTGTGCCGATGAACACCACCCCTAACTCCTCTGCATCCTACGTTCACAGTGATGAAAACAAGACACACATAAAGGTTGTTTCAAGTGCTTGACAAACATCATTAAAGAAAGCATTGGGTTATAAAGAGAGTTCCTCACCAGCTGGCCTTTGAAGTAGAACAGCTTCCTGTTTTGAGAGTCCAAAACAAACCACCTCTTTTTGAATGGCTCCTTTTGCTGTTAAAAAAACATGTAATGCTTCACTAGAAAATGTACTGGGTAAATTGGCACATTTTCTGCCCAAGCTTCGACTCCATAGCTTAGCTCCTTATACCCATTCTTACAAAAGAGATAATTACATTTTTGTGTGTGATTTGTGTGAGTATGTAAGAGGAACAAAAAACCCTCATTGTATTTCTACTGTCACTAACAACACCAACTCTGCTAGTGAAGACTGTGCTTTTCTCATTGCATGCGTGAGTCAAAGCTGCTTTCAAGTGCTGACAATATAAATGTACAAATAAATCATATTTATATTTAATGTTTGGTTCTTTACCAACTTACCAATGGCCCTGTCTTTTCCATGTAGCCCTCTTTGAGGTAGTTTCTTGTTATCTTTGGTATCAGCTGACAGAGAGACAAAATTGTGTGTTAAGCTTTAAAACATAAAGCAAAAAGAGACAAAAAGGTCTCTTTATTGCCGTTGATTTCCACTGCATTTAGTGTGCTTTTTCATGCATGTTAATGTGCATCATCTTGTCAGTCATTATGGTTTTGAGAAGGTTTGATGCTTACTTCTGCATCCCTTCCAGTTGGGTACGCTGTCCTCAGGTATGCATAGCGAGCAGCACGAATAGCATTGTACCATGTCACTATTTCCTGCAGTAAAGGAACAGAAACGTAGCTTTTAAAAATCAGTACAAACATTTCTGGTAACTGATATTTATGCTTTCGATGATTAAGCATTCCCACCTGAGGATTCTCGTGATAGACGTAGAGGTTCCTGGTGTGATCGTCGTCTTCGTAGGTGATCTGCAGCCCATTGGGATGACCAATCTTCTCTGGTTGGAAAGTGGCGTTTATGTCCTTGATGGAGATTAAAGCTTTAGGACCTTTGGACTCCTGGATCACAAATAGATGAGCAGAGTTAGTAGTCAGGATAGAAAACCTTGATCAATAAAAATGCAACTCATTTTATAGAAATTGCGATATTAGTGATGGCAATGTTGTAGCCAGGCCAGTCCTACGTTTTGGTCAGGACTGTAATAACTCAGCTGTACTTTGTTTTAGTGCAAATTAACAAACCTTAGCATGCTGAACACCAAACTGAGATGGTGAACAAAGTAAACATTTAACCTGCATGCTAACCATGCCATTCGGAGAATGTTAGCATTTAGCCTGAAGCACTTCACTGCGGGTTAAAGGGATAGTTCAGATTTTTTGAAGTAGGGCGTCATGAGGAACTAAGGTTGTTTGTTTGTATCGTTAAGTGACTTGTTGTTTTAAAGGTTTAGTACGAATGCACCAAAGTGCCGACTTCAATCTACTGTAGATATTACACTGACTATAGATAACTCAAGCCCTCTTACAAAAGAGCCAATATATTCCTTTAGATTGGAAAAGATAATATCAATACACTTGCTTTTAGATTACACATGTAAGATATATTAAAATAGTGGTTTTGTGTATGGCATACAGTGCAGATTAAATGTGTAAAAGCTGCAGGAAACACACATTTTCCTTGTTGTAGTAGGTCAGAGTAAATTCTCTCTCTGACAGTACGAACTTCCTCTTCAGAAACTGTGTGTTCTCTTTCCCTTTTTTCCAAAGCATCCCTTCATAGAAACCTGGTAATAAAGCAAAAACAAAAAGTGTACTGGGTCAAAGATGAGGCAATACACCCGGGTCTTAAAATTATTAAAGTTTTGTTCAGGTAAACATATAGAAAAAACTCTGTCCAGCTCTCACTTCCTGGCTGTTTTGTAATGCAAAGAACAGGTTTTTCTTGAACGGTTCTCATCTGCATGAGGAACCATATTGTTCATTGTAGAATAACGACAACAGGCTGATACGGGTTTTTGTTCTGCAGTAGGCGTGTGTTTGAAACTGTGAAAACGTCACCTGTGGTGTAAGATAGTGGTGGATACTTGGTTTCTCCTGTGAATTCCATCCTTTCGTATTTAGCCCGAATCCACTGCTCTTTTAAGACGCTGCGGTTCAAGAGACAGACATACAAATATTTTTAGACAGGCAAAACACACTTCTGCAAACAGTGGCTATTATAAGCTGCAGTATCACTACAAGGAAATGAATCATTAAGCTTTGAATTAGCAGCAGAAATGCATCTTCTACAGTGAGTTGCACTATTGTTGTGGCATTGCATTGTCAGCACTTGGCACACATAATAAAATATTACATTTCTGAGACAGTTTTTGTCAAAAGTTACTTACACACAGTCACTTTCCTTGGGCCGATAGTAATATGGTGGAACAGCTTTCTCGTACAAAGCTCGGTTTTTGGCATTGCCATTGGACTTCATGAACTTAATAAAAAAAGACACACCTGAAGGTTACAGTTCACCTGAAGAATGAATATCTT